TGATGCACAACTGTAAGTAGGTAGAGAATTCACTACAGTTCTATAAACAGCTAAGAAATCTCTCTTTTGTTTTAAACTAAATTGCAGGGCAGCAACCATCCAATTTAAAATCTATAACCTTTGCTATATCTAGCAACAGCAACTACAGCGTTTATCGACAGTTAAAAAGTTTCAGATTACCATGGCTCAAAACATTGGGACCTTATTATACTCTGTATTGTACTGTATTAAAATGAAGGAGTAGGAAGAGAAAAATGATTCTTATGCTACTACTGAGAAAAATGCATTCTATTTTCTTCCCAATATCTGGTTGTTCCTTTTTCACACACGGAATGTGCAAGAGCAGGGGGTGATAAAAGAACAAGTGGGAGGACTGGCACGCAGCACTTTACTTCAGTAAATACTTTAAACAAGAAAATTTTAGAGATGACCAAGCAGCTTTCAGATAAGGCAGTTTTGCTCCTGTCCAGTAGAACATTAAGGATATTTTTGTAGAATGTAAAGAGACATAAAATTATTAATGTGTTCTTTAAATCTGTTTCCTGATGCCAACAAGCAAGCTATTACTCCACTATGATGACCACAGACCCTGCAAGCCAAAAAGGTTAAGAAATCAGATGTCCACGGAATTTTTGTAGAATATTTCACATAAATATGTATTTATTAAACAATAACACAATACCAACATGTTAAATATAGTATGCAAAAAAAATCAAGTTGCAAATCCTCAGCAGAAAATGTATTTCTGATGTTTCATTCTTGTATCTCTAAGGCTTTATGTTCCCGCTACTTAAATTTCTAATCTGTGCCTTTCTATTTTAGCTATTGGTAAGTATACCTTTATAACATGCCTGAACAGAATTCACTTTATTATAATGTGAATACTGGCAATCAATCAATCAATCTTGAAAAAAAATGGCAATTTCACTTCTGGTTTCCGATCTGTAAGGAGCTTAGAAGTCATCATTCCCATCCACAGAACAAGAAAAAGGCTGAACAAACGGAAAACCCAACATCTTAGATCCATTGGAGAAATGAGGTTACACAGAAAACTGCTGCCCCCAAAACTAGAGAGACAGGCAGGCAGACACAGAGAATCACAACTCAACCAGAACAGAAACCCACAAGCAGAAACTCTGCAGGATCCGGTACCAGTGTAGGGAAATCTAAACTGTAATTTATGAATAGCTGGAGGCTCAGCATAGAGAAGTTTAAGAGTTAAAGACTCCAGGGGTGCCTGGTCTTAGGCAGGCCCCCACACTTCTGTGGGTTTTACCTCCAGGAACCTCACCTACCAGGTTCTCACGGTAAAGATGAGAGAAAAATCTCCCGTGCTTCAGCAAAGGGAGGGGAAAGGCAGCCATGCTGAAACATACCAGAGCACTCTGTTCTAACAAGGCTTGCCCTCAAGAGAAACTATTTCACAAGAGCCTAACCAACTGGGTTTTACCAAAAACTAACCAAGCTGGGGGAAGGGAAATAAACATCCAACTCCAGTCTGCTCTAGCCCTTTTGTCTCACTCGGGGGTAAAAACAAAAGAAAACTGAGAAGCACTTTTGTGCAGGCCACAGCCGGGGGCACAGACTCACTGAAAATCTGAGACTCAATCACACACTACATAGTGTCTCCCCTCTCCCCACACCTACCACACACCTACAGGGCTCCCACATAACGGGATTACAAAGGAAACAAGTGCCTCATTAGTCTCAAACTCAAAGACAAGAGAGGACAAACACAAGGGCACAAGAGGAAATTTTATCCTCCAACAACTATAGCATCACCTAAAGCTACAGTAAATAGCAAAACTGCCTAAACCCCAACCAGATAAACATAAAACCTCACAATAAAGGCCTATTTACCACGGCTCCTTGTACCCAGTATATCATCATGTTCAACAAAAAATTACAAGGCATACTTAATATGGCAATAGGACTTACGTGTTCCATCATCTTTTAAAACACTGTTGAAAATGTAATCTCTGATAGTATCATAGATTATAAAAAGTCAGGATAAGCAAGGATATTCAGCCAACACGAGCACTATTCAACATTATACTAGAGGTCTTAGTTAATTAAGATTCCAAAAGGATAAACAGTTGAAATATCAGAAAATAACTAAAAAATGCCACTATTTGGAGATATTTAGAAGATGTAAGCATTTCAACTAACTATCAAACTAATTCAAAACCAGGCACAGTAGTGGTGCCTGTAATCCCATCTACTTGAGAGGCTGAGGAGGGAGGATCACCTGCATCCAAGTATTTGAGACCAGCCTGGGCAATACAGCAAAATCCCGTCACAAAAAAGAAAATGATAATAATAAAAATAAAATTTAAAAAACTAATTAAAGTGTTCAGTAAGGTGTCTGGATTAAAAATTAGCATATAAAAATTATTAGGTTCCTATACACTAGTAATAATCAGTCACGAAACATAAAAATAGGACTTTAAATAGTAAAAAAAAAAAAAAAAAAAAATCCATAAAATATCTAGAACAAATTTAATAAGAAACATGCAAACTTACATAATAAAATTTTAGAACTTTACTAAAAATATAAGACGGGGCGCAGTGGCTCACGCCTATAAACCTAGCACTTTGGAAGGCTAAGGCAAGAGGATTGCTTGAACTCAGGAGTTCAAGACCAGCCTGAGCACGAGCGGGACCCTGTTTCTACCAGAAACAGAAAAACTGGCTGGGCATGGTGGCATGTCCCTGTAGTCCCAGCTACTTGGGAGGCTGAGGCAGGAGAGTTGCTTGAGCCCAGGAGTTTGAGGTTGCAGTGAGCTATGATCACACCACTGCACTCTAGCCAGGGCAAAAGAGTGAGACTCTGTCTCAAAAAAAAAAAAAAAAAGAAAAGAATATGAAAAGATCTACATAAATGAAGATATATGCCATGCCATGATTCTCAGTGGGACTACACAAAATTCTAAAGATTCAATGCAATCACAAAGAAAACATTATAAGGTTTAAAAAATATGCATTATGAAGTAACACAAAGAAATATAAAGAACATAATAAGAACACATGTAACCACAATCTAGCTCAAAAAAAAATAGGACATTGCCCATACAGTTAAAAAAGAGCTATGAAGGGTTGGTTGTCCCGTGAGACAGCAAAACATATCAAATAACTGCAGCAATTAAAAAAGTAAGGCAGTGGCACAGGTGTAAACACCTGCACCAAACGGATTTCAGAAATGGACTCTTAAATGAAAATGTAATACATGTAATAAAGGTGACATTTCAAATCACTAATAAAAAGATTGGATATTTAACATACTGTCTTTAGATAGCTGATTAGCACGAAAAAAGTCAGACCACCCTCACACCACACAAATTAATCAACCTTCCATTGCACCTGGATCAAAGAGTTAAATGTAAAGAGCAAAATTAAAAAACTAGTATTAAAAAATAGGGTAGTAGGCCTTTAAAATATTACAATGGTGAAGGTATTGTTAAGGAAAACTTGTCTATGATGAAAAACTCCACAAAGTTAAAAAGCTAGCTGATATACTGAGAGAAACACCTATAACAAAAGATAGTATTCTTAACCACAATATAGGAATGAAGCTGCAAAAACAAACAACCCAATTAAAAATTGTAAAGGCAACAAAGAGGCAATTCGATGAAAGAGGAAAGATACAAATTTACACTAAATATATGAAAAAATTTTTAACTTCTCTAGTAATCAGGTAAGTACAAATTCAAGTAACATGTATATAAATTATGACCATCAAGTAAAAAATGTTATATTTCTGTCACAAATATTAAAGACTTTTTAATAATACAAATGATTTCAATTTAAGCATAAAATATCTCTGAGATTATACTGTTGAGTGCAAGTGACAGAATAGGTAGTGTATAAAAACATTTACTTAAAAATAATGAGACCTATATAAATATGTAGGGGGACATTCGCTGAGATGTCTAAGGGAACAGATGCCAATCTTCCTAAGAAATTTCACCTGGGGATCAGTGAGCAAGGGGCAAAAAGGATTATTTTCTAAATTTTGTCTATACTATGTGAATTTTTGTAATAAAAATTAATTTCTATGCATTCGATTACATTTTTAAAATTTAATCCTTATTCTTCCTTTTATGCTGTTACAAATGTAAACAAAATAGAACAAAATACAAATCTATTTGTTCAGCCAGCCAGCCAGCCAATCAACTGGCACCTACACCTACATTCTCCAAAGTATTGTATCTGATCCTGAAGATGCGAAGTAAATGTGGTCAGGACCCCTGCAGAATTCAAAATGTGGCGGGAGAGACTGTAGAACAGCTATTTACTATACAATAATAGAAAAATGAACTAAAGAGCTATAGGAATATAGATGAGGTATTATCTAAGGCTGGGGAAGATTTTATACAGGTGACATTTGGTTTAGGAATCTTAAAAGATGAACAAGAATTTGGAGATTGGAGGATAGAATTTTGGTCTAGATACCAGTATGTGCATGGGTTAGAAGGGACAAAAGTGGGGCCTGTACCAAGAAGCAGTCAGTCGAGATCACTTACAATATGTACAACTTTGGGCAAAAAACTGAACCTGTTTGACTTAGAAAAAGGGCCCGCAGGGGCTGCTGTGGGGAAAATGAGATGGTGAGCTCAGAATGTGAGGGCAGGCCGGCTGCACACCTCCCACTCACGGGTTTCCAAGGCTGACTTAGCTGTTTTACCTCGGTTACTGCCTGTCTCCTTTCTCTCTCACTGTTCCCCTCGAAGCTGTCCATTTGGCGGAACACAGCCTTCTCAGTCATGTACAATGAATGGTCTAGCACAGTTCTTGACACACTGTTTACTCAAACAAAACATTAATTTCTTTAAAAAAAAAAAAAAAAAAAAACCAGATGTTTGGAGTTCCACTGAACTAGTCTGTGTGACACTCCCTAGAACTGCCCTGCAATGACTGCTAGGGTCGCAATCCTTAGCACGAGAACCAGTGGCATGTTTAACAAGCACCCTGCCCAGTGTGTGCACATTCTTCATACTTACAGGCTGAGGCTGCTCTGCAATACAGCAGTTGAAACACAACCAGAATTCACTCATGCTTACAGTCCAAGGTATAATGAGCACCAATGAAGATTCCAAATCTCAACTCGGGAAGTTCCACCAAACACGCTCCAATGATGCAAAATGATAATCTTATTATTTCACTGTGTTTTTTGTTCCTGGAAGCCAAGTATCTTATATAGTCAACTGAATAAAGAAAAAGATTGTTTCCTTTCTTTGCTTC